CGCTCTTCAAACTACTGATTTACAATACCGTGGACCTAAAGTACATTTAATTAATTAATTTATGTTCTAATTAATCCACAAATGATTTGTACAAATGCCAAGGGAAAAAAATCTTTATACTGATTAATTTCCCATGTAAAAAAGCAGCTAAATGACAGGAGAGAAATTGTAAGAATTTTTTTTCTTTTCTAAGAGAACAGTAAATTCTGAGACATTTGGGTTTGTGACACAGCAAAGCAAAATTAGGTCAGAGGAAAGTAAGTTCCTTGTTTTGTTGGTTTTGTCTGGTGCTGAACACTTATAGAGCTTCATGTCTCAAATTATCACTAGAGATGATTTTGCAGCGCTGGAGGCCATTTTGGGTGGATCAGTGCTCACATTTTGATGGCATTCTCAAAGAGGTGATAAGAAAAAGCTGCAGTTGTACTCAGCTTGGTACTGCATAGGGGTACTCAGCCTAATACAACATTAAACTGGGGAGGTAGAGATGTACACCATACCATTGCTTGATCTGGAACTAATTTGACATTGTAAGTTTCATAAATTGTGAAGTAATTTTAAAATACTTCAGGAGCTTAGACTATGCATTTACTTCAAACAAACCTGACACAAAAATTCTTATCCTTTCAGGCTTTTTCATTAAATGAATCATAATAAAATCTAATATCAATTACAGAGCACAGGAATTTTAACACACAACCAACAGAATACTATTAAAAAAGTATTCATACAGTGTCAGCAGTATCCCCAGTTAAATCGATTTGTTCTTTTTTTTTTTTTTTTTAATTCATCAGAGCTTCCCTCAGAAGTCTGCACAGTTCTGCCTACCCAACCCCCAAATTGTGTCTTTCCCTTCTAAAAGTTTTTGCCTGGGTCTTTCATATACCAGACTTTTATATAAACTGGGAACAAGCTCATCACTTTATGCTTTTAAGCACTGACAGTACTGAGCTTTTGGTAATGACAGTTTTACCTGCCCTAACTCATAGTTGTGTTATTTGTAAGGATGAGAGGTTTTAACATTGGTTTTAACATTTGGCAAAGCCTTTCCTAATTAGGTGGAAAAGAATCAATCCCTCTTTTTGCTAGACTTTACAGCTTGGCACACCTAAGTCAATAAATACCAGTACCTTATTTACTCTTCTGTGAAAAGAGGAACACGGAAAGATAAGGAGACAGAGACAACTTGCATGCAGGTATCTTTAAAAGGCTAGCTAAAGAACACCAGGGTATTCTAGGGAACTGACCACATGAGTGCTATTTAAAAGTTGTAAAGAAAAAGACCCAAGTAATGATGACCACAGCTAATAGATTCAGACAAAATAATAAACCAGCTGATAATGGATTAAATGGGGAATTAAATAGGTAACAACATTCATATTGGCTTACAGAAAACAGGTGCTGTCAAACTAACTTTTTTTTTTTTTTTTTGAGATTACAAATTTGCTTGACATGGGTAGTTGATAAATACATTTAAGAGGGAATCAATGTGATTCTGTAGTCTAACTTCCTGCCTAGCACAGTCCATGCTACTTCTAGGTTGAAGTCCAATCTTTGTTGCTGGACATATGTTTCAGAAAAAATGTCCTATATTTATTTTTAAATGGCCAAATACAGTGAATTGTCATAAGCCAGGACAACTTGCGTCAGTGGTTGATTTCCTGGCAAGTTAAAATCTATGTGTGGTATTTATATTTGCTGCCTTTCAGTTCCTAGACAATGAAAGCTTAAATCCCAAAATAGCTTGTAAGATTTAAGATTCCCCTGTTATCAAATTTCCACTCCCACGGATGCCACAAGATTACACCAACAAATATAAGCCAATCATGGCCTGTGCTTTTGTAGGATTCTTGTGAGTCTTCTCCTAAAACTTGTAAAATTTTTTTTCCAGCAGCTTTCCTGAGGTTTAGACATCAAAAATGGTTCGCTATATTCCAGTTTTAGTTATGCAAGTGTCAAAAGCCAAGGAAAAACATAGTCTCCACTCCACTCTGTTTTCTGTTTATACTTCCAAAGATTATATTAGCTTTCTTGGAACTGGCATCATGATGCATTCTCATAGTCAGCTGATGAGCCATACGAACCCTTATGTTTTTCAGATTCACTGTTTCTCAGGCCAAAATCCCTTCACCCTATATATGTATTTACTGATATGCAATCATTATGGAACATCATTATAGTTTATTTGCTTACATCTTGTTTATCAAAGCACTTTGTCCCAGATATTGGACAGATTGCAAATTAGGTGGGGGTGAGGTAGGATGAAAGTCCTGTGCTGAGATTTTGTCACATGCTCATCAGAAATCATGCAAGGTGTTATTTAGCAGACAGAAAAAGTAATTTCTACTACATTTGCCTGCAAAGAGAGGAAACCTGGAAATTTTTGATGCAGAGGTTATGTAGATCCATTTTCATATATTTTCAGCCTGGTAATGACTGTCAAACTTCTGAATTTCTCATGGAGAAACACATATTGTACATTAAAAACACAATGTAAGTAAGATGGTTCTCCAGACCAGTCAAGAGTTGCTTTCATTGCTCACAACTAAACTGGGGGTGAGCTGGGAGGAGGGTGTCCTGTTGTGCTCTTCTGCAAGGCGCAAATAATGCCCCTTAGTGGAGACAGGACGCCAAGCTATAAGGGGTTTTATCTGATCAAGTGCAGCAGTTTATATTACTGAAGTATATTACTTATACGATAGCAGTACAATATAACAAGAGTTCTTTCTCTCCTGGATTGTCTGGTAAAATTCTACAGTTTGACCTCCAAGCATTCAAGTCAATACTTCAAAAAACCTACTTTTGCAGTCAAATGCTGCAAAAGCTTCTGGGAAAGCTTTTGTGATGCAAAAGTTACCACAAATCTTCTCCCTAAGAATTTAAGGGAGGGCAAATAAAACAAAAGCAAGACAGGGACATGGGGTCCAAGATTATAATCAGTTCTACTGTACAGGTTTTTACTGTAAACTGATCATCACAACAACCATCCACCTTCTGAGACAATAGCTTGGTAAGTCAAGGGGCAGTGGTGGCATATTCAGCCTTCAGCCACTCATTCCCACTACTATTACTCATTTCAGCTGTGCCAAAGAAAATCCTCGCTACACAGTAACGTTGATTGGAAAACTGATCTCTGGATTAATCTTTTTTTTTTTTTTTTTTTTTTCTTTTTTCTTGCTGGATTATTTCTAACCCAGACTACTCCTTAACTCAGTGCATTATATGGCTACAAATTAACCCACCCCAAACCCTAATAACAAAACCATCAAAATCACTCATATTGAACAAAAGCGGTGGGGCTGAAAAGAGACAAGTTTTCATAGTGAGAGTCAAAACAAGCCAAGGAGAAGATAACGGGCTTTTAAAAAGTACTTGTTTCTAACATCTTTCCAGGCAGAACTGTCAGTCATTAGAGTGGCTCTTTTTTTTTTTTTTTCCCTTATGATAAAAAAATCTGCTTAACTTAATCACAGATAAAACTAGTCCACATATATTCTCAATTCCTCAGCTGTCATTCTGCCATGAAATTATTTGCTGCAGTAGAAGACACCTATCAGTTTGTACTTGGCTTCACAGAGTTTGTAGTCTGTGGAAAAACACACCACCTAACAATTTTTAAAAGGCCTTACACACATATATTCTGCAGAATATATCCAGCAGAACTATTAAAGCCCTGTACATATCATGTACAGTAGTGAAAAAATAAATTAAGAGCAGCATCAAAAAGCTCACACTACTGCCTTGCTTTTGACAGTAAGCCCAGCCTGAAACTCTCTCCCTAGTTTACTATATTTAAATCGACATGCACCCCTCTTATCTCATTATTCATTCAGATTGGGAGATGTGGATCATTAAGCTGGGTACTAATTTGTTCCTAAACTGCATTCATTTATCATTAGTTGGCAGTGAGAGGTTGATCAAGTCAGTTGTGGAATACTTCTGTGACCCTCCCACGAATTGTATATTTTCTGCATGAGTTACTTAAGAAATTCTCTAGAAGCTATTTTAACAGTTTTCATAGCCGTTTTGTTAAGCATGGTTATTTCTGTGGTCAGGTTAGTCACAGAGGTATCTCTGTCATATTCACAAATTATCTTTTGTACTATGGACCTATATGCTTGGTATTATCTTCCACATTGTGTATAAAGGGTATTTGTGTACTGTTCTTTCTAAAAAGCCATGGCTGATGGACTATTACAACAAATCACAACAAAGTCTAGTATTGCACAGAATTATGTCCCTTCGCTGGGGACAACACAGCTGTCAGTAAGGATTAGATAGACTGTGTGTGAGGAGGGGGCTACTCTGAGAAGATTCATGTAATAGCTAAAATATTCTTATATTTCCTTCTGACTCGAGCTTCTCTCTCATGAACAATTTTAAATATTATAGCACAACCCATTTGCAGTAACTTAACTTGTGCCTCAGATGATTTTTCATTATGAAGAGAAGATATTCTCAGTAATAATTTGGTGGATGAAGAACTACTAAAATCCATAGTATGAATCATCATCATCTTTTGTGCCAGCTATGTTTTTATAATAATAAGTCTATTGTATAGAAATATTTTTTTACAAAATGTATGGCTATGAAAACATTACAACAGATTGGGAATTAAACACATTTGCAATGCATAAGCTGCCCAACATTCTAGTTAAGGCAACTTCTGTAATGGAAATTTTACAGAGACTATTTTTTGCCTTCTCATAGACCTCTGGGGTTTTTGCCAGCTTATAATGATTTGTAAAAATATTAGCATAATACAAGTTAGAGACAGGAACAACACAAGAAATCACTCCATTTATCCACAAAGCAAAATTATTTTGCTAGAAGACACATCAGATGCTTATCACCTCTTAATATAGTCGTATTTTTTCTTTAATAACTAAAACAAACCATATGTTGGGGATTTTTCCTGTGGTATAGAACTGTTCATCCTAATAAAGAAACAGAAAAATATTCAGGTCGGTGTACTGAAATGTATCAAATCACTGATTTACCTGATTTTTCAGAGGGAAGAGAAATGCTGGGTTTTGTAGTATCCAGAATAACAGCCAGCCCTGCGGAGACTGATGGAAGGATGCTGGTGCTGAGATCTACACGAGTTAGACTTTCAGGTTTTCTTTCCAAGGCTTTTAGAATACCTCCAGCATGGTTATCTTCTGGCTCATCCTTCTTTTGACTCTTCTTCTGTGGAGTCTGAACAACATGAACGATACTCTGCTGGGCCAGGTCACAGTTCTGCACACAAAACCAAAAGCCAAATAAATAATTAATTGTGACATAAGGGACAAAATCCCTCTATCTCCAATTTGTTATTTGTTAAATGGTCTCTGAGCCATTTTGTGTAGAATTTCAGTGTGCGATAATGGAGTTTAAAGCAAAGTGACAAGTGTAAATTGCTGGAATTAGGATTACTTGCATTGGCAAAGGGGTCGCAACACTTACAAATTCTAAACATTTAACAAGGAAATGGTGGATCAGAGCCAACAGCTCTAAATAAGTCTGGTTTATTGGCACAAAGGAAAAACTCCGGAGGGAGCACTACTAAAGCAAGTGCTAAGAATACTCAATATTTAATATTCATTTGCACAGATAATGCTGATACACACTCTTCATGTAGCAATCTAGGGTCAAATTTCACAATCATAGAGAGTTCATGACCAAGCTACTCCCAATGTATCTTTGTAAACAGAAACAGGGATGATGATGCTAGAATGATGAAGACTGATACTTATTTCTTGTCCCTAATGTAATTTTCAGTCTAAATCTGGCTTTAGATGTAGACTTGGTATGAGTTTCCCATTCTTTCCAAAGATGACATTTAAATGTTGACTTCAGAATTAGAGAAAGCTTGTGGAAGGTCTCAGGACCACTATAGTCTTTGCTGGTAAAACAAAAAGATTGCTACACATTTTAGCCCGAGAGGCCTTAACTATACACAAGTACTTCCTCTTTCTCAGTTCTAATCAAAGGTGATTCTTAGCCAGTCTTTCCAGATCTTGTGTCTTAGAAAAAAGCAGGCTGAATAAGGATCTTAGGAAAGGTTTATCCGGGATAAATCAGTAGAGAATTCACATTTTGTTCAGCATTTTCCTAATATGGAAGATGAGAGCAAAATATTATCTCAGAACTAGAAATTACAGAGATTTTAGATGACCTATCATTAATGAAGGGCTTTCGAGAAAGTTTTATATTGATCATTCCACCGCACACCTTGCAACAAAAAATGTTCTTTTGGGGTGATACCTCCTGGAGATCCACACCTAATTCTCCAGTATCACAAATGAATTACATAGAAACATCAACCTACACACAAAGAAGTTTGAATTTCCCTCAAAAAAATAATTTTGTAACTCTTCGCAGTATCATCACTTTGGCTATGTCTGCACTGAAATGTCAAGACAGACTGACTTGTCTCAGTATCTAAAAAATATTTAAAAATTTTACTTTGTATTTGCAATTATTACATGCACTTCTAATTGCAAAAGATTCCTTTACGGTTATTTTAGTGCTGTTTATGCCCTTGTTATAATCCCATTCTCTCTCTTCTACCACATTTTTTCCTCTGGTCTCATTTCTGTGTAGTCATTTTCCTTCATTCTCTTGCATTATTTCTCAGTACTTCCACCTCCACTCTTTATTTCTTATATAATGCAGTTTTAAAAGACAAAAATCTGTTTGGTTTGTTGGTTTTTCAAGTTGAATTTTTAATAACACACTCTCTCCTTAGTGAAGCAATAGTCAGTCAGCAGAGATTTGTCAGAGTATGGATGCTGCAGTCTTAATATTCAAACAAAGCAGTTGTTAGATTTCAACTTTAAAACATTATGTTGACATTAAAGGTCTAATTTTTTGTACAACTTGTTGCTCATAACATTTTAACAAGATCTATTTAAATAGCTGAATAATTTCCTTTATTAACACAAAATCCAAAACATGGCTGTCACTCTAAAACTTCTCCCACTAATACTGCATAACATTAAAGAATTTAATAACCTAAGAGAAATTAATGATGAAATTAATAACCTAGGCGAACGAGGACCTCAAAAGTGATTTGCTCAGTTACAACTAGAATTACAAAGGGAAACAGGTATATATGTAAAACCTCACAACCTTGGAAACCCGTAATCAACTGTCGATCGGTCAAACCATGTTTTAATGAGCATCTCCTCTGGCAGTTTTGCTTGCTTAAGCAGCCCCTGTCCTGCCTTCTATTTTTTCTCACCATCTACTTTCCTTCTCAGTTTGTTTCTTTTCAAAGTTTGCATCAGTTCCCTGACTCAGTTCACAGCTTGATGCTGTGCTACAGTCACACTGAGGGGATGGCACAGAAGAGAGAGTAAGAGGGATGGTAAGGGCTGCTTAAATCAAATTAAATGCCCCCAAAAAACCACAACCTTGTTTGACCACTCTTACTTGATCTTGACTGCTGAACACATTTAGATGCATGGTTTACATCAACTGATTTTTAAAAAGTATAGGTTCCTTTCCAGGTTTTTTGCAGGCTAGAGGGTATGTGGTTAGCTTAGAAACAAAAGAAGGGCTGACAAAATAGAGCCCCATCTTATCTACTAGTCTGTCTCCAATAATGTCAAGAACCACATACTTCAAAGAAAGATAGCAGGCTATGTTTCACAGGTGGCAGATAGGCTATGTCTGCAGCTTTTTTCTCTGAGAAAAGAGGTATAATTCAAACGATTTCTGTAAATGTTTAGGTTTTGCCTTAGGTTACTATTGTAACACAATTCTAAGAAACAATTGCTTATGTCAATGTCACTTTCATTTCCTTCATGTATTTGTTTTATGCCTCAGGAAACACTTTTTTTTTTTTTTTTGAGAATATCTATTAGTAATGATTCTAGAGATATTGTCTTGTCCTATCTGTTGATCCAAATTAAGGCCTGTGATCCATATTCCAAAGGGAAATACTGCAAGTGTATACATTGTAGATCATGAAGTATCTCCTTGCACTAGAGCAAAGAGAGCTGACAAAATCCAGAAGTGATGAAACCCAGTATTAAGGACTGGTTCTTTACAGAGAATGGGTTTCGGCCAACTTGGAAAAATGAATTCATAGCAGATGAAATTCAAAGGGTTTTTTCATTCAAAACTTTTGCTTTCATATTTTTTTTCTGAATTCTCAAGTTGAATTTCACAGGGCTGAATGAGCACATCCTGAGTGAATAACACAATATCCTTTGGTGCTGCCAGCTGTGGGCTAACTAGAAGGTCACTTTGGGAGAGTGAGATATATTATGGAGAAGGAAAAGATGACTGTGTTTCAGTAACTCCGAAATCCTCTTTTTCTGACAGATTTCTGCTTGTTATCTTCTTGACAACATATTTTGATAGTAACATCAATATTGAAAGAAGCATTCTCCATCTAACAAATATATAGTCCACTAGAGGTTATTATAATTTTTGAAGTGCAATAAAATTTATTTTTAAATGTTTTATTAAAAAAAACCCAACTAACCAAACCAAAAAACACTAGAGCAGAGAATAGTTTGGATCCAAAGCCTTGGATTTGCATGTAAGAGAGCTAATTTCTTTTACTGTTTTGTCTTGAAAAGGAATTTTAAATGTTTTCATTTTGTGTTAACCACCAGTTGG